AATGGTCAACTTCATTTAACAATTTTCGATCCATCACTATCTAAAACTAATGATGAAATATATGAAATTCAAACAAAACTTAATCTTAATAATGATCGTTGGCATCATATATTTTTTCATCGTGCTAATGATTATCATTTAGAATTAATAATTGATTCATATGAATATTATCTTTTAACATCAATATATTTTCTTGATAAAATTTATTTCGGTCGTCCATTAGATATTCATTATTTAAATCATCTATCAACAATAAAAGCTTGTTTTGCATCTGTTACAATAAATAGTCGTTCAATAAATTTACGTGAATACATTAAACCAAATTCACTTATTCGAAATGATTGTTTTCTTGATTCTCAATGTCCATTACAACAATGTCAAAATACAGGTATTTGTTTTGATCGTATTCAATGTGATTGTCATCATACAAGTTTTCAAGGAAAATTTTGTACAAATTTAAAATTAGGTTATTCTTTTAATGATTATACACATGGTTTAATATTTGATCAACCATTTCTACATGAAAAATCTTTTTCAACATATAAACTTTCATTTGGTATTGTAACTAAAATGAAAAAAGCTGAAATAATTCATATAAATGATCAAATATCTATTGATCTATATAATGGATTGATAAGCATAAAATTAATTGGTAATGAATTTATACAAAATGATCATCCAATTAATGATGGTTATTATCATTTAGTCAAAATTCAATATAATAAAACAGGATATTTATATTTAAATGTTGATAATAAATTATTAGTAAAACAATTAATAAATGGAATATTATTCGATAAACCATTATTATTACTGATTGGTCAAAATCCAGCTTTTAAACATCCGTTTCAGGTATCAAATTCTATGGAGAATATTCAATTTGAAATGTTATTACAGAGAACTAAAGAGTTAAAGAAAATAAATTATGATCTGAAATTAATTGATAGAAGAATCAGTTCGCATAGCGGATACTTCTGAAACATAAACTTCATGATTCACCCAAGTTAACTAGGCAGAATTGTAAATCACCGTATACAGATAAATACGGGCTCCATGTTTGTCAATCTTAGCATACTATTATAAGTAATTAAAGAGTAGTCTTACGAGAGAATCTTTTCAACTGATCAATCAAGTTTGCATCAAGATCATATGTAGTATTTCTTAAGTGAATGCCGTGGTATCAGAAAGTATCAAACTTTTCAATTTGTTTCTTTCCTAAAATAAGAGTATTAAACGTGCTAATTTATAAAAGATACGCTTTTACTATTATTGTATGTTACGATAAGAAAAGCATTTATTTAAAAAAAAGTACCGTGAAAGTGTAGTATTTCCGTAGAAATATATTAAGGACACGAACTCTTTTCAGGCTATTCATAACTCATTCAAATCTACATAATGCACATAGTCTTAACTCAAAAGCGATTGAACAGCTCAAGGACTTCCCACATGAGAATCGATCGATTAGTTTTTTTGTCTAGATGAATGAAACTTAGTGTCAATGTTGATCACTTCTGAGTTTTCTCTTTCGAATAATATCTATAAATTGGTTCTAATTGTTATAGGCTGGCGTCTGGAATGAAATATTCGAATATCAATGTGTTGACATTGCATGTAACGCACTCCGAAATCAAAATTTTAGTAGAATTTTTTTTATTATATTTGAATAGAGTTAGTCGAGTTGCATGAAAAAAAAGTATGTTTGAAATTCTAAAGAAATATTTTACAAAAAGCAGAAGTTTTGGTTCATTTTCTCTCAGATTTGAAAATAAATGGTATCTTGGACTTTTTCGTAAGATACTTTTTTTTTTTAATTTCAAAGACAATTTTATTCACGCAACGCGATGAACTCTATCCAAATATAATGAAAAAAATTCTGATGAAATTTTGATTTGTTAGTGTGTTACATACGTTGTAAATATCTTAAAATTCGAATATATCAGCCTACGCACATCAATAGCGATCTATATTTTAAATTTGATTGGTTGGTGATGAGAGCTCTAATTTGACTCGATTACTTACAACATGAATACCTCCCTTGTTAATGTGACAGTAGAATCGTGTGGGACCAAGTTTTCCTCAGTCCCAATATTCCAATTGTTCCGCAGGATTCTATACTATAGTCTTAGAATAGTAGATATATTTTGTCTGATTATATTTTATTTATATCATAAGCTAATGTTAGTGGTAAGACTTATTCACAAGAATTTCTTTATATTCTTTTCGAACGAAATTTAAGGCATCTAGTATTTTTATTTTTGACATTGCAGAACTCTAAATACTTTCTTTTTCATCTCCTTAGGGACACTTGTATGGACTTGAATCTGATATCTATTCTATATTTGATTTGATTTCACCAACATTCCAACGTATTTCATTCGCACCAATTGGAAACAAATCTCTTTCTTCTTCTTCTTCTATTTCTCCATCTTTCTTTTCATCAATTATTTATCCATCATTACAAACACAAAATGATTTAATGCATTCATCATGTTCATATCAACCCTATGACGATATTTGTATAATAGCATCAGATACAAATTCTAGTTCCTTATTATACCCTGATATATCATTTCAATCGTCTTTATCATCATCTTTTTCTACTCGAATCTCATCTATATCAACAGTTAAATCATTATTTAAAAATTTCCTAACTTCAACATTATCATATCAACAATTAACGTCTTATGTATCATCAAATTCAACAGGTCCGTATGATATTTCATCATTAATTGTGTCAATAAATACATCTAATGAAAATCAATTAGCAGAAAAATTTCATTGGAAAAATATGCTGTTCTTTATTATACCTATTCTAACTGGTATTATATTATGTCTTATATTATGTATGTGTGCTTTTATAAAATATCGTCGAAAAGATGCAGGTGTTTATGAACTTGAAGAGACACAACGTTTTCGGCCATTAACTGTTGAATTACCTCCATCACCCGGTGAAAATAATCAAGAAATATTAAATTCATCAAGAAGTATTTTAAAGAAACCTCATATCAAATCACATAAAAGACGAAAACGTAAAAACTCATTATTGTTGAGATTTGATGAACAACGGGAATTTTATATTTAAATATTTCTTCTTTCTTTTTTACAACTATTTTTTTTTGCTTGTGAACATATAAGATAGATTTGACCAAAATAAATAAATAATCATTGTCAAGATAATTTCTTATTATTATCCATTCTAGTCTTTGCCTTTCATGCAGACTGAGTCAAATCGTCAAAAACTGCTCTATTCAACCATTTAATTTTTATATATTTTCAATAGTTGTTTTTTTTTNTTGAAATATGATTAGATTTTTTAAAAATATTTTAATGTAGATAACTCGAATATTTTTTCTTTCATAAACTTTTTCAGTAATTTGAATCATTTATAACAGATATAAAGTACATTAACTTTAACTAAAACGCCGGGCCGGGCGGCCCGGCAAAAAACTTGGCCCGCCCGGCCCAACAATTTTTACCGATTGGCCCGCCCGACCCGAAAGAAAAGCTTCGTTGGGCCGGGCCGAGCCGGGCTCGGGCCGGGCGGGCCGGTCCGGTCCACTGGGCCGGGTGGCCCGTTTCGAGCCCTGATAGCTAAGCCACCTATGAATATAGTTCATGATAGATAATGAATCAAAGAGAGTATACAGCGATTCGCCGAAAGTATTTATTTAAATCATGTTTATATTCTTTAATCGAGTTCTCTTTGTAATCAATGGCGTAATAACTAATTCACAGTTTCTTTCTGACTTCGGTTATCTGATTAGTTGAAACATAATATTTGTGATCTACAGTAATCAAAAAGTAGCTCTGGATTCTCTCGATTTGAATAAGTAATGCTTTAGAACTTATTGATGTTGCATGTTCACAGTATTATTACAAGAGATTTGTTGCTTCCATCCCTATCAAACTCGTTTGATCGAAACTTTTGTAAACTGACACCGTCATTTATTTCAGCCCATCGGTTACAACGTATAAAACGAATGTTAATAAGTTCAATGATATTTATTTAATTAGATGAAAATTCAATGAAAAACAGATGTAAATCATAACAAAGACAAAATCTTATCCTGTATTAAGATAATTCACTATAGACATTTATAATAATCGACAATCAGTTCAGTCATCTGTCACGTTGAATATATGATATTTATTCGAATAATGCTCAATTGTGTGAAATGAAGATTCTAGAGATGAATTTATTCCTACTTAATATATCATTCAATCTAATCGTATGAGTCGAAGATTTGACCTCCTTCTATCCAATCCTGGTGATGTCGGGACACTCCTAATCTTATTTGTATTCTAGCGTCAAATTTTAATATTTCTCGAAATATTCTTGTGTTTGCTTTTAATATCAAAAGAAAAATCGAACTAGATATTATTTTTATATTATCGTCGAATTTGTCTAACGAATATTCGTAATTTTCATTATTTCATCTTCAAATAATAAAAGCCTTTAGTAAAAATCATAATTGTTAATAAAACTATTCCATACACTAGTGATCTCTATCATAACGAAAATAAAATAAAATCTTTTTCAATGTTATGAATGATAATTGTTGCATTTATTTTTATGAGTTCTATGAATGGCATAAAATGTTACTAACAAAAAAATGAATTATAATCTTCCCTTGTTTTTTTTTTTTTTTTTTTTTTTTTTTATTATTCTCTCCTCCAAAAGAATAAATAATATTTCGAACCAATCAATTGTTTCTGAATGAAAGAAAAACAACATGTTTAAACGACATGAAAAATCAATATTATGTTATGATTGATTTTTATTCTGCGACTATATAAAAAAACAATACGTAAATATACACGTTCTTATCTCTTTTTCTCTTTTCGCATATATATGTTATTTTATATCAGTGGTAAAACAAAGTTTTTCCTGCGTCAACCTGAAATATTCTTTAATTGTATATTTTAGATAAATATATATATGTTTATTTCAATTAATAATATGTAATCAGTGAATAAAACAAAAGCAGCAAAAACAAAATATGGGTCAAACACTTTCTGGTAAAATGAAATGAAATTCAAAAATAAAAAACTAATTAAATTAATTATTTCCTAATCTAGAACCTGTAACATCAAAAGATTCTGAAAAAGTAGAGAATCATTTATATTCAGTCGGAAGTAGTAGTATGCAAGGATGGCGTATAAGTGAGTTTGAATTAATTGATAATTGTTCGAAAGTAAAAATATTTTATTATTCAAAATAAAGATATGGAAGATGCACATACACATATTTTATCTTTACCAGAAGATAAAAGTTGTGCATTTTTAGCTGTTTATGATGGTCATGGAGGAGCTAAAGTAGCACAACATTCATGTAAACATTTACATACACGTATTGCTAATCAACAGGAATTTAGTTCGTTGCTTTTCTTTTTATTTCTTTTCTTTTCGTTTAATTAATTTTCTTTTAGAACAAGGAAATATTGAAACAGCTATAAGAAAAGGTTATATTGAATTTGATAGAGAAATGGCTTTAGATGAAGAAATGCGAGAAGATTTAGCAGGAACAACAGCCATTTGTGTTGTAATTAAAGATGATAAACTTTATTGTGGAAATGTTGGTGATAGTAGAGCAATTGCTTCAATAAATGGTAATGTTGAAATGCTTTCAACTGATCATAAACCAAATAATGAGGATGAAAGAAAACGTATAACAGCTGCTGGTGGTTGGGTAGAATTTAATCGTGTTAATGGTAAAAAATATTTTTAATTTAAAATTAGTTTTATGAAATGTTTTCATGTAGGAAATTTGGCTTTATCTCGAGCTCTTGGAGATTTTATATTTAAACGAAATACGGATAAACAACCAGAAGAACAAGTTGTAACTGGTAAAATTAAAAAAAAAAAAAAAAACTCGAACATTTAATTTATAAAATGAAATTATTTTCATCTTTTAGCGGCTCCTGATGTTGTTGTCAAAACAATGAATGATGATTGGGAATTTATATTACTGGCTTGTGATGGTATTTGGGATGTGCTTAGTAATGAAGAAGTTTTAAAATTTGTTCGAACACGAGTAGCTCAACAAATGCCACCGGAAATGGTATCACACGATTTTATTTATTTCTTTTTAGCATAGTTTTTAGTTTTTAAAAACAAACAAATTAATTCAAAACGATAATTTAACATGTTGAGTTTTGAAATCGGGCAAACATATTTGTCCTGTAAGATGTAATCTTTCACTAGTTGTTATTGATGGTTTTGTCATTTGCAACACACATGCATGGCTCATTCAAACGATTCTTACCATTTGAAGAACCATAATAACGTTGAATTTATTTTCATTCATCATTATCGATTTTTATTGCTACAAAGCCAAATGCTTTCCGAAACATATGTTTTAAATTTATCATCTCGTTATTGATTCTTGTATAGATGTTAGTCTCATTTTTTAACAGTTGTGAAAGAATGTTCGAAAACAATAATGAAAAATCAGATACAGTAGCCTTGTGTTTGCATTTGAATCAAGTAAATAGTTTCGATTGTTCTGATTTTTTGTTTCTACAAAAAATAGTCAATAGTAATGCCTTTCAGATCTATTACTTTGATTAAAAATGGAGAATTTTCATTATAATGTGTTCGGTCATGCCTTGCAGGGTAAGCTGTCATATTAGGAGCCCTGGTTTGAAACAAACATGTATTATCTTGTTAGTATTTTAGATTGAGATGATGTTTATTCAAAAATATTTTGTTGTTTTTTTTTTCTAGTACGGTGAGATGTATATCACCTATCAGTAAAATATTTGAGAATGGATGACTCCGATACCACCTGTGTGAAAAATTCAAGAGCAGAAATATTTTCACTGAGAGTGATATAGTTCTATACTTAAGCTTGTTAAATAATGATTTGATAAATAGCAAAAGAAGACGTTTCTAATATCTACGTCAGAGTAAAAGAAAAGGGTGAGCGTAATTTCAATAACTTGACAGCGATAACAGTTAGCGACCTACGATTTTCAGCAATCGAAAGAGTAGAATTGAAGACATTTTTTGTATCTGATACTATAGAAGACAAATGGCATGTGCTTTAGATCTGTAGTTCAAGGCGGAATTTAGGTAATTGTCTTCTTATATCTATCTCAATGCTGAGCAAACAAAATCGTGTATATCTATTCGGTCAAATTATATAAAATTTTGTTGATTTTTATTACAACTTCCTTGTAACCGAACACCGTTTTTTATGCATTCTTTTGAATGTTTGAAAAGACGACGGGTTTAAAAATAACTTTTTCTTGTATAGTATAAGATCACAAGATGTCTGGAGTTTTCCTCTTTCGGTTTTTGAAAACCTCAGACTCCTAACTATTGCCATTGTCGAGTTATTGACCTGAGGTAATTTACGTACATTTTTTTAATCGTAGGATATACAATCCTAATGAAAAAATAAACTGATATTGTTAATTTCGCGTCGATTTCAATTCCAAAAACCTTGATTTTTTTTCATTTCTATTCAGTACAGACTAGATGAGTTTTACATTGAAGTTTAAAAGCACGAAACCGAAGGTATTAATGCCAAG